GTTACAGCTCTCTGGGATGGGGAACTCCCTTCCTTCTGCTCTTAATCCTCCTCCTCTCTATCTCTCTCCCTACTTCAACCTTGCAGGCAGCAAAAGAGACTCTGGCCAAAGCAGTGTTAGCGGAGCTGCCTCAACAAGTTGTACAGTATTTCAAGCATAAAAACCTACCCCCGACCAACTCAGAGCCCGCCTGAGCTCGAGCCCAGCAGCAGCATGCCAGCTGAGCCCCCAGCTCCCCCAGGAACGTGCACGCTCACCCTGCTTCCTCGTGGGTGGCCTTTTTTTTTTTAACTAGTCCACATTTTTATTTTTTACAACCAGACCTCCACCCCCAACTTCCTCAGCCCAGCTGGAGTTCCTCTGTCAGAGTCAACTGATGATGCGTCCAGGCCAATCTGGCTTCCTCTCCTACCCTCCTGCCACTCTAAGTATTGAATGTACTTTGTATAATTTTAGTGGAATTATTGTTACTAAAGAGAATAAAATTTTTACAGTCAAAATTGGCTTTTTCTAAGTAACTAGTTGCAGAAAGAAACGTATTCCTGGTGCATATTTTGTGTCGTGGCCTGCACCCAACTCCTGCTGTTTTTATACTGTGACTGTTCTATATGTTACACTCAGGGTAATAAAGAAGTTTGACATTCCTGTGTATGTCAGCTGCTTTGTTAGCTGGGGTCAGTGGGCTTGCATCCTGGATCTGGAAAAGGAATTAAGAGAAAGATCCCATGCCACCCCCAGCATTCATATGGCATCAGTGTGATCCCTTCTACACAGGGACATGAATTCCCTGTCACCAGGGGTGATCCCGTGAAATTGGCACAGGATGTGAACCCTGTACACTCAGACATGAAGACAATGCGGCACAGGCCCACCTAGGTCCAGCCAGTTCTTCACACCTACCCTCCTAACTCTTGGCCTCTATCTCCCTACATTCCACCTTACTGCAGCTAGATAGGAGGTGCTGCCACCCACTTTTCTGGATGTCCTAGGCAGTGTGTTTGGCTTCAGGGCTCTGATCAGAGATATCTGCCCCTGCTATTTCTACTGCATGCCCCTCTCAGCACATCCCCCTCTTCTCTTCACGAGACTAGCCTCAGCCCTCCCCATTCTTCCACACGACACCCCATCTCCCTTTCATCTTCTCCCCAAGCTCCAGTCAGGCCTTTTGGCAGGCTGACATGTGACCAGAAACAGTGACGGTTTCTACTCAGCACCATGTTTCCAGCTCTCTGTATACAACTTTACAGGTACTGCTGATAAACCCTTTCAGCCTAAGCAGGACCTCTGCAGAGACCTGGAGACATGCAAGGAAATGCACCAGGCTCACTAGACAGGCAGAATGTGGATGAAAGAGTGGCTGACCCCACACTCATGTGTATCCCACCACCTCCCAAGTTCATGATCCTGCACTCTGCTAAACCAGTCTTTCCTGCCTTCCCCAAGGCCAGTCCTTCTGAGTAACCTGCTTGAATTAGATAGTACCAGGCAGGTCCCAGACAATCTCAAGTCAGGAACAAGAAAGTGATGCCTCTACCCAAAACTTCTGTGGCCACCAGGAATCAGCTGATGAGTCTTTTAGGGATGGCTTCAGTTCTCTCGAGAGATTCCGGAGTGCATGGATCCTTGACTTGTTCACAGCCCTGCAAAGGAAACCCCAGACGGGCACAGAAGATTCCTATGTACTTCCTTGCTCAGCCAGCTGCAGCGCTGCCACCAGCTGCTCATTTGCCACTGGCTTGGTACTAGGGAGTTTAATGGCTGTCACTCCAGGTAGGTCTCTACCACCTAGGTTGGGAGGTGACTGACCAGAGGTCCCATAGGGAACAGCCTTGCCCCCTCTCAACTTCCAACCTAGACCTCAAGCCTTACCCAGAACTCTGCACCCTGTCCTTAACAACTTCCCAGAGTAGAGCCATTTGAAACCAAGTCCCTCTTGGCCCCAATGTTTAATGGTATTACAGACCAGGTGTATGGCCTGTCTGCCTCTAGATCTCCATGGAGTCAATGTTGACCCTCTACTGTCTGCCCCTTCTGTCTGAGCCTACCACGGGTAAGCCAGGCAGGTCCTGGGCTCTTGGCTCAGGAAAGAGCATCTAAACCCTAGATGGAGGGCAAATCACTGCTTTAAGAACTCCAGGCCTTTAAAACTAGGTGCGACTTGGTTCCTACACAAGGACGGTGGGCAGGCAGGTGAACTTGGAAACCTGGGCTCCTTGGGTTCCTTTATAGAATGCACAGAAGGAATGCTTCACAGAATGTTTCTTTAGGGATGAAAGACACAAGTCCACTGAAACAATGCACCATGTCCCCCGTCACCAGGCCTGTGCATACAGAAGGGAAGGAGCCAACACCAAGGACACCGAGGTTTGTGACTGTCACAAAAACAGAAGAGTAGCCTGTAGTGCACAGCACAGGAGACCTGTCTCCCATGGGACCTGTCTCTGCTGCAGCCAGGGCCACTCCTGCCTACTGATGCGGAGACTCCTCTCTGAAACCATCACTCCAGCAGGTAAGGGAAAAAAAATGACAGCCCCTGCCAGCATCAAGGCGTGAATGTACAACGGCTTCTTGTGCTCAACTTGTGACTACAAAAGTGTTGCCAAGATTCCAGCCTCCCACCGAGCAGAACTTGCATTCCACCCCAGAATGTGTAACTAGGCTGGGCACGCCAGGAAGACACCCAAGTCCAAATGGCTGTACACCACCACTGAGCTCTCCTTGTTTTCCTGGAGGGGCCTAAGATGACAGCTGAGCCACATACCCACAGCAAGGACACTGGAGCCAAGGAACCCAGTGTGCCCGAGCAATTAACATTTAGCTAAGAGAGGAGCTCCAGCAGAAGCTAGTGGAGCTGACAGCTAGATATGACCCTCCAAATATGTCACTGTTCTAGCTACAACTGAGGGATGCCAGTGCCACACAAACCTGCACGCAGCACACCGACACAAGCTCTGGGCCCCGTACTCAGCAATGAGAAGTCCAGGGTAACAGCACTTGTGAGGATGGCTACAGTCACCAGGCACTGCCAGACACCATGGCAGGCAAGCGTCTAATCTAGATCTTTTACCCTCCCTAGGAGGTTGGTGTTCCTGTTTCCTGAGGAGGACAGTGAGGCCCAGAGAGATGAAGGGCCTTTTCTGGCTGCATGCTCATAATCATGGCATATCCATGGAGAGTAGAAAGAAGCTGTTCTCAAGGAAAAGGCAGAGCAGCAGGCCTGGTATAGGCAAACTGAGTTTCTCCCTTGTGTGGGAAGAAGACAGAGGAGAAAAACTCAGAATCTGGAAAGAAAAAAAAAAAAAAATGCTATGAAAAATGACCAAAGTCACCCCTGGTTAGGCACCTGACTCACAGCGTAGGGTGCTTCTGAAAAAAAGCATGGCGAGTCAACTTTCTCCTCACTGGGTCCTGGTACCGAGACACTTATGTAAAGATGGAACCAGCCACTTTTCTAGGTTCAGTCACATCAGCCTGCTTGCCATTTAGAGAGAAAATGAGTGATTTGAATTTCATGCCTCTTTCCTCCCCAACCAGGTGGGTGTGATAGCCTCAGGTACACAGATGATAGGTGATACAAACTGGGTAGTCCTGTGCATCTAAAATAGAGCTGGCCGTAGGACTGCCCTGGCTTTCTTCCTCGCAGGGTCTGAGTCACCCGAGACAGCATAGGAAGGCTCAAAGAAACCAAACTGCATCCTTATTTTCTTACCTGGCTATTTCAGTTCCAGGCTTCTATGTGGATGAGCACAATGAACTATGACAAAAAGGCCATCAATGTGACAAAGCTTTCCTGAGACACCAAAAGCAGAGATCACAGTCTGAAGTAGGGCATAGTGGTACTCACCAGTAATTCCAGCACTCAGAAAACCGACAATAGAATGGAAAATCCGTAAGCCAGCCTTGGGCTCCAGAGCAAGACTGTCTCAAAAACAGAAAAAAAGAAACCTGTGTCTGAAGACTTGGCTTGCTAAACACATCTGGCTGAGTGACAGGATGTTTGGAAGCACGTGATGCAGTATTGAGCAAGAGCTTGTTTTCTGACAGGTTTTAAATTTGAAGTTAATGGACAGTTTTAATCCCTGTAACCCTGTCAACTTCCTCCAACATCAACAGAGGTCTTGAGGTACAGCAGTGGCCTCTCAAGTCAAATCACATGAAGCTGGTGATTTGGATGTCTTGGTCTGCCTCCTAAAATGGTTAGGGTACCTGGTGCAATGACAGCACAGTCACAGGAACAGTGACACACAGAGGCAGAAGGTACCTGCACAGTTCTACCTAATCGTTTGTCAGGACGGAGCTGATGTGCCTGCACTGAAAAGGAAAGATTAGCACCGAGAAGCCCTGCAAAGGAGGCAGCACTCACAGGCATCCGTTGTGGGTAAAGGAAAGCCACCATCTGCCGGTGGGCACCAGTGTCACTCCACTGGAAGAGGAAAAGAAAGGCTGGATAGGATCCAGGGGCCTCTGCCCACGATAAAACTGAGGAGCTTTTCTGCCTGCCACTATGACAGTGCCAACACATTTGGTATGTGTCTCGCTTGTCTCACACTCAAGGAAGGAAAAACAGTGGGTGATGGAACCAGGGAGAACTGCTCAGGCTCATTCTGAAGCAGGGGCACACAGACCATCTCATACCTCCCTCTCCACCTGAGACCCAGCTCCCTCCCTCCCTTCCTCCTTCCCCACTCCGCACCTCTACTTTGAGACAGAAATGGGCAAGGTCCTGCTGCTTCTTGGCTGATCATGGTCCAGGAGCTGCTGTTTGGGATGAGAATGAGCAGGAGAGCAGTGGACAAAAGGTACTGGGGCAGCAGCTTAGGCTGGATATAGCTTCCACACAGTGCCTTGGTGGAGTACAGAGCACAGCCATAACACTCAGGCGTGTCCCCCTAGTCTGCAGTATGTGGATTCCAGAAGCTGCTAGAATTAGTCATCCCTTTAACATATCTACCAGCAGTTACAGTTTCTGGCTATGACTCAATAAGTTTGTTTCTCTAAGGTTTAGAATCTTAAACTAAATCTTTATTTCAAAAACAAAATCAAAACAATTTTCAAGGCAGAGAAGGCGGGCAGAAGATAGACACTTCCTCATTACCAGCTCCTTCCTACACCTTCGGGTTGGGTGGGGAGGGGAGAACAAGGACACGGGAGAGCTTCACCATGAAGGCTGATGTTAACTCACAGCCCTGCAGGTGTGGTTAGAATTTTCACTTAGCCACACTGTCAGCTCCAGGGGACTGCTTCATGCCCTTACCCAGTCACCCTTTTTATGCATGCCCACACGCATGGTAAAACCAAGCAGCCCATTCATCTGTAATAGAAGACTGAAATAATGCCTGTGCTGCTAAGAAAGGAGACAGAAAAAACAAGAAAGTAACAAACTCCAGTGACACCCTAGCAAGTCAGCTGGTGCCTATCCTGTGCACTGTCAGTGGCTTTTCTCTGGGATTTATCCACACCCCCGTTATCAGTAGAACAGGTTTGGGCCACAAGTGGGCTGTGGCACATTTTCGGGTTAGGTTGAAAATGTCATGTGTGCACAGGAAGCAGGTAAAGTTCTTTTTAAGGGGGGTGATGTCTCCAGGCAGAACAGATGTCCAACCCTTTGGGGAGGTGCTCCCTGTGGCAAGGTCAGGGAGCTAGGGCGCTTCGAGGAAGGTGTTGGTTCGGAAGATGGAAGAGACGATCTTCCCAGTAGCATTTATGGTGCCTTCACTGTCTGAGCTGGACTCAGAGTCACTACTCCCGGAGTAGGCGCCCAAGCCTGGGAGAATGCCGATGCAGACAGCAGCAGATGGGCAGTGGATGGAGGTGCTGCTCAGGGAAGAACTTCCAAGAGACATACAGGATGGGGACTCTGTAAAAAAGGATGGACTGTTAGCTAACACCCTCCCTAAAGCAGAAGAGCCCTTCTCCAGGTCCTGAACACTGTGCCAGGGCTTTCCCTCCAAATCCCTAGGGCTACAAAACAAGCCTATGTAGTCACAGGAAGATTGTGGTCACCGTTTTGCTATAGATGAGGAACCTGATGGAGAAAAATCAAAGAACTTTTCAAGGTCAAGATGCAGAATGGGACTTGAACTGAAGTCTAACCCTGGAGTCTGCCTATACTCTCTTTTTCTCTATCAGCTAAGAGATGGAGAACAAACCTTGCAATGGAACCTACATGATTTGATTCCATGTCCTCATAACTCAGGATATTAAAGCAAGTGGGATTTGGGTCTTATGTCTTCCTTATACACTCTCATGTTGTTCTCAACAGGAGGGGTGAAGCCAGAGACTGACTATAAGTTATAGTAATAATTCTATTTGACTCTCCATATAGTAGGCCATACTAGCATAGACAGCTATACAGCAATGTGCTTTATTAAGGGCTACTCTTCCCTGATGGGGAGATGAGTGACTTAGAAACTGATTTACCACTTCTGCTTTCTAGTCTTGTTCTTTTACAGCTGAGAACACTGAAGGAAACATTTTTAAGACCAAGCATGTCACCATGTAGCTGGGGCTCTTTTCTGTGCAGGATATGCCCAGTGATTCTGCTACTCCAACAACAGGCTTCAATCTAGAACATGCATAGAGATAGCTCAGAGGTTAAAAGTGCACACTGCTCTTGAGAGGATTCAAGTTCAGTGCCCAGCACCCATACTAGGTGACTCACCACCACCTGCAACTAGCTCTATGGGATCTGATACCATCTGCTGACTTTGTGGGCACTGCACCCATTTGCACAAATCCACATCATATAGACATACGTAAAAAATAAAAATAAGCCCCCAGCCTCTTTCCTGGACACCGGGGCTGACCTCTAGGCCTGGAACCACCACTGCTTCCTGAGCTCTTGCATCTGGACGAACCCAGTTCCTTCTCAAAATCCCCAGGGGCCCTCTGTGGTGGTCCCGCCCTCACCTCCCACTGCTTCCCTGGGCCTGCATAACCCTCCAGCCTCTCTCCTGGGAGCCCTCTGGGCCTGGTCCCACCCTCACTTCCCTCTGCTTCCCTGGGCTGCACAACCAGCCAGCCTCTTTCCTGAACACCAGGGCTGACCTCTTTGCCCAGAACCACCACTGCTTCCTGATCCCTTGCATCCAGACAAACTCAGTTCCTTCTCAAGGTCCCCAGGAGCCCTCTGGGTCTGGTTCCGCCCTCAATTCCCTCTGCTTCCCTGGAGCTGCACAACCCACCAGCCAGCCTCTATCCTGGGTAAGTCTATCATGCCCTCCGTGCCTTGACACCCCCAGCCTCATATTCACCCTCCCATCTCCCCCGCCTGTCTCTTCTCCTAGCCTGGGTACTGTCCCATTCCTTGCCTTGGTACCACAGACACCGGAGGAACCACCACTGCTTCCTGATCCCTTGCACCCAGATGAACCCAGTTCTTTCTCGAGGTCCCCAGGAGCCCTCTGGGCCTGGTCCCACCCTCACCTCCCTCTGCTTCCCTGGGCTGCACAACCTGCCAGCCTCTTTCCTGGGCACTGGGGCTGACCTCTCGGCTTCCTGATCCTTTGCATCCAGGCCAACCCAGTTCCTCCCTGCAGTCCCCAGGAGCCGTTGGGGCCTCTTCCCACCCCCATCTCCCTTTGCATCTCTGGGTGGCACAGCCACCAGCTGCCCAAGACCAGCACCTTTCCTGGGCCCTCCTCCCAGGCCAGTGCAGCCCCCAAATTCCTGAGGACAACATCATTCCTGGAGGGATCCAGACCTTAGGAGAAAGCCTGAGAGCATCTGATCCTCATCTGAGTTGGCCTCTGTGGGAACTCCTGAAGACAAAAGCAATCTGGCCACCCCAATTATAAAATCAAAAGAGAGAACCAGAAGCTTAGACGAACCAAAAAGTAAACCACAAAGGCACATAAAGTTTACAAAAAGAAGCAGACCTAAACTTGAAGGCTTGAGTCTCACACAAGAATCAGAAACTACAAAAGAAATTCACACATCAAAATCACAAAGAAAAATAACACAAAAAACAAAAATAACATATCCCCACCATATACCAATAGTCCTCTAAAGGAGTACAATAAGAACCCCCTAGAGATAATGCAGGACATGGAACTCAAAAGAACAATTACAAAATGATAGAATTCACTGAATTTAAAGAACACACAAAGAAATCAAAGAACTGAAGGAAGATAGGGATAAACTTCTGAATGAATTCAGAAAAGAGCTAGAAATATTGAAGAATACTCAGGCTGAAATGAAGAAGGAAGTGAAACACTCAGTAAGCCAATTAGAAACAACAGGAGAAAGCTTCACCAATAGGATGAATGAAATGGAAAACAGAGTATCAAGACTGGAAGATAAAGTGGACGAACTAGACCACTCAAGCAAAGATTATGAAAAATTTAAGAAAGTACAAGAATGGAATATGCAGGAATTGTGTGACATCATAAAAAGACCAAACTTACGAATCATAGGCATACAGGAAGGAGAAGAATCCCAAGATAATGGCATGGACTGGATCCTCAACAGAATCGTAAAAGAAAATTTCCCAAAATTAAAGAAAGATATGCCCATACAAATACAAGAAGCATATAGAACACCAAACAGACAGGACCAAAAAAGAAACTCTCCACGGCACATCATAGTAAAAACACTAAACATACAGAACAAAGAGACAATACTGAAAGCTGCAAAAGAAAAACAGCAAGTCACATATACAGGAAAACCCATTAGGAGTGCAGCTGACTTTTCAGTGCAAACGATGAAATCCAGAAGAGCCTGGACCAAAGTATTCCTAGTTTTAAATGACCATAGATACCAACCCAGATTACTATACCCAGACACGCACATGCCTGGTTGTTCAGGCCGCACTTCTTCCATGACATAAATAGGCTGAAAGACTTCATGTCCACAAAACCAGCCCTTCAGAGAGTTCTGGAAGCAATACAAAGAGCTGAAGAAAGGAACTACTATACCCAAGGGGTTGCAGAAAGAAATTCAATGAAGGTATAACTGTGGAAAAACACAGCTATATCAAGAATGTGAACAGAAATAAAAATGACAGGATTCAATACACATCTTTCATTAATAATTTTAAATACTAATGGACTGAATCCCCCAGTCAAAAGACACAGACTAGGTGAATGGATTAAGAAACAAAATCCATCTTTTTGTTGTCTGCAAGAAACTCATCTCACTTTCAAGGACAGGCACTGAAGGGGAAAGGATGGAAAAAAATATAGCAAGCGAATGGTACTCTATATTAGCACTATAGTCATAAAAACAACATGGTACTGGCACAAAAATAGACCCATAGATCAATGGAACAAAATTGAAGGCCCAAATATGAGTACATGCAATTTCAGCCACCTGATATTTGACAAAGAGGCCAAGAACATTCACTGGAGGAAAGACAGCATGTTCAGCAAATGGTGCTGGTAAAACTGGATCTGCACCTGTAGAAGAATGAAACTAAACCCCTATCTTTCACCCTGCACAAAAGTCAATTCCAAATGGATCAAATACCTCAATGTAAAGCCTGAAACTCTGAAACTCTTAGAAGAAAACATTGGCAAAAAACTATAAGATATAGGTGTAGGAAAGGATTTTCTAAATTGGACATCAGTTGCCCAGGAAACAAGGTCAAGAATCAACAAATGGAACCTCATTAAACTAAAAAGCTTCTGTACATCAAAGGAGGCAACCAGGGATGTGAAGAGAAAAACTACAGAATGTGAGAAAATCTTCACCAGCAACACATCTGACAGAGGTTTAACATCTGGAATATGTAACGAACTTAAAAAACAGAGAACCAAGACAAGAAGCAACCCAATTGAAAGATGGGCTAAGGAGCTGAACAGAAAGTTTTCAAAAGAAGA